GCCTTTGTCAGCTTAGTGAGATTCCAGTGCCTGGAGTAAGGTGAGGTGATGGGATTCTAACCCACCGTTTCTGCACCTGAAATAGTCACTCGGGTAAGAGTGCCTTGGTCTTTAGTTAAGATGGATTGCGCAGAAAACCTCTTACTGTGTGATTCTGCATTGGGTCACACAATGCCTCCTTCTCAAACAGAAAAAGACAAAAGCACGCGGTGCTTTGAAAACATCCCTTATTTACATTTAATGCATCATAGAAAATGTCAATCTCCTTCCTAAACAAGAATAAACAGGAACGGGGGAGGGAGGGAGAAAATGAGCAAATGATATTGAGGGCTACAGTAGAGGGCAAATGTTTTGAGATTGATGAGGGCAACAGGTGTACATATGTGCTTGACTCAATGAATGTATGTATGACTGTGATAAGAATTGTACGAGCCCTCAATAAAATAATTAAAAAAAAAGAATAATGAGGGTAACAAAGGTACAAATGTGCTTTATACAATTGATGTATGTATGGCTTGTGATGGGTTGTATGAATGACTTAAAAAAAATAAAATGACTTAAAAAAAAAAGAAAGAATAAACGGAACCGTCTTCTAAAGCCCTTCCAAGCATCCTTTAGTCTGTTCACTGTTCTAACTAAATTAGTTCTCTCTTCCTTGAACTTGTCCTGTGTGGGAAATACAAACACCACCAGGTGTTTTAGGGTGATGGCCTGGGGCACCTAGAGCCATGTCTAGCACTTGGGGTGGGGGAGCGGGGGTGGGGGGTGGGGTGGGGGTGAAGTTGCACAGACGCCCTCCCCTTTACTAGGGTTACATTAGGTTACTTTCTGCTATCAGGCTTTTTCTTATAAAATCAAACTTAGAAAAATACTGAATTATTCAAAGATTCGACACAGTTCATCAATTTAGAGGCCCAGATTGTACAAAATATTCGGAATTTCATATGAAAGTGGCTAAGCTAACTGCTGTATCCTGAGGGGTGGTATCTTGGAAAATGCGGCATGTCCTTGGAGCGGAGCACACAACTGGCCAGGTTTACGGAAACTTCTGCCTTGCATACAGGCTTAATCTAGTTCTAAGACTTTTTGCAAAAAGGAGAACGGAAAGCAATGACCTGGTTTGGAGTTTCTGTAAGAACCCCGCCAATGTCCTCTTGATGTAGCATCTAAGTGGCATCCAGAATCCCTGAAAAAATCTTGAGACTTGTCCTATTTCCTGCATTCCTTTGACTAAGCCCATATTTAAGATCAAATCAGACCTGAACAACTCAAAGAAATCCTTACCGCTCTAGAATGGTGACTCTCAAAGAGACCTCTATTAGCAGGGCTACTGCGATGTGCTGTATGGTTTCAGATCGCTTTAGAATTCTCTGTGAGACATTTTAGGTGTTCTGGATTCCATAGATTTCCAGGTAGATCAAATTTCACTAAGTAGAACTTTAGGTCCACTACTATTTCATAGGGATTTGCATAGGACTCTTGCGTGCCATTCAAAATAGTTTCTCTCTGCCTGGCTCTTTGTCTCCCAACCAAACAGGTGGGACGGGGAGTTCTATTGCACGTGAAAGAGTTGCTGGAAGATTCAGTATGAGTAGGTGTGACAACCGTTTCTACAAATTCACTTGCAAACACTCTCACACAGACTCTTATAGAGGATTTCATGCATTCTCCTGGGCAATTTAAGATTCGGGAGAAAAAGTTCTCTCCTGAACTTTCTGTGGTCCATTCATCTCTAGGAATGTCCCCACCTGTCATTTAATCCCTTTGGCACTTTGTTTTTATTCCATTGGGCATCTTTGGAACCTACACTGTTGTTTCTCATACAATTCAGAGGGCCATTTGAATGGGTTTATAGACTGTATGGTGCTGTGAGGCAGAAAGCTATACCATCAGTATTTCATCAGAATTGCCAATAATGGATAGATTTCACTTCTAGAATAATGCAGTCTAGAAAGGAGGACCTGTTAATCTACCTGGGTGAGGGGTGGGTTGGGGGGTGGGGGCGAGGACCAGTGAAAACTTTATGAATACCAGCGCAACAATGAACCAAGGCGTGGTATTTTCAATTGCTATATGTACAAAAGCTAGACAACTAATAAGGAAGGCTGGAGAGGAATGGATTCTTTTGAATTTTGTGATGGCAAAGAATATCAGTTATACCATGGACTGCCAAAAGAGTGAAGAGGTCTGTCTTCGAAGAAGTATCGCCAGAATGCTCTTTGGAAGTGAGGATAGCAAGACTTGGTCTTATATTCCTGGAAGATCCCTAGCAATCCCACATTTGCTCCTGTAAAGCCCTGTTCATTGAACTGTTTGTTATATATATACATTGTTATATATTGTTGTATATAGGTGTTTCTTTTATATATATAACTGTTATGTATAAACATATGCTTGTATGGTTAAGAGTGAGTGAATGAAAGAATGTGATTAGAGAAGTTTTCAGGTAGACTGAATTTCACTTGTTCTAAATAAAAAGATAAATTATTTCCTTCAGATGCTACCTTTACTGATATGATTGACAGAAATGTACAACTTGGATGAGCTACAGGAATGATGGGCCTACATACATGATTTGGTGATGATGTTCATTGGTACTGGCTAATAGCTAGTTCTTTGATGATTCTTATTACTGAATTTCCTAGGTAATTTCCACTTTTGGATTTACATAGATTAGTTGGGAGTGTGTTGCTTACTGAATTTGAGAAGCATTAATATGGTTCCAATGAATGAAAATGCTACACATATTTATTTTGGTTCCTAGAAAGATTTTAGTTGGAATATTTGAATTCTATCTCTAACCTGTTTATTGAAATCTCAGCTTTCTTAAGATTAAACCATCTTTTACTTTTAAAAACATGTGCTGTTAACCAGTTTCTTTCTGCAAAATGTTGATGTGAGATCATTGGTTACACCAGCAGCTACCAAAATAAATGTATGATGTTTTGAAATGTCATCTTTTATTTTATAGTGCATGCACTCCCTTATGAAACAAAACAAAACAAGACAAAATCAGCAAAACTAAATAGTGTTTCACTCTCTTTGCCAGAGGAAAAAAGTTATAGTAGAGGCCACATAGCCCTAACAAATGCTTGATGGTTTCGGATTCATGGTTTACCTTACATATGGTTTCCAAAGCTTTAAATCTTAGATGAGAGCAGATAGCCCCACCCTGCACCAAAAGAGGGTTTGGTGTACTTTCATTTTAAGGTCTTGAGGTTAGCAACCTCATTCTTACTGAGAGCCCCGCCTCATTGTGAGGTTATTTGCATGACATTGTAGAGTGTGATAAATTCACTACCTCAGAGTGGATGGTAGCTTTCCAAGATTGTAACTCTTTATGGGAGGAGAAAGCCTCATCTTTTCCCCTTGTCCCAGCTGGCATCCCCACAGGGTTCCACTCTAGCTACCATCTATTGGGCTCTTACTCTGTGCCAGGTGTTTTACAGATAGCATTGTATTTAATAGAAACTGGTAAGAATCAAGGAATGCATGAATGCAAATTACTCTCAGGTGTGCCAGATTTGGTTTGCTTTGGGTAATTTTATTCATACAATGAAGTATCTTGAGAAGCTAGTTTATTTATAAGAGAAAATGGAGACTTGGCAAGTTTAATCAACTTGGGATGGTAACTGGGCAAATAACTAGTAGACTGAAATTTCAGGGAGAACATGACTGGGGTCAGAGCCCACATAAGTGGGTTTTGAAATGTTGAATGGCTTCTCTTAAAAATGTAAGGGTTAATTATCCCTTCTCCTTAGTCACTTCCTATTGTTGAGATGCTAATATTCAGTGAAATTGAAAAAAAAAAAACCTCTTTAATTTTGACCCACCAATTTAGGCCTCCAGAGTCTAAACCGTTCAACTCTCAGTGGGCAAGCCTCCCCACAACTAACCCATCATATCAGTTAACATTATCACAGCAACTATAATATCCTACAGAAGGATCTCTTGGCTTCCTGTCTCAAAAGTTTGTTTTCTAAACGTGATTTTTAAAAAATACGGTGGGGAGTGTGTTTGTACGAGTCTGATAGAACTTGAGAGTTGTATAGAGTTATTTGAGAGTCTATTCCAATCCTAGAAGTGGTAAAGAAGAGGTTAAGCTGGACCAGGGAGGATTTTTTGAAGTCTTTGGCTGGGAGGTTCCATTTGGAGAAAGGTTCAGGGGAGACAGGGGTGTCGAGAGAAACACGGCAAGTTCCTATTCCCTTGAATTTCAGATTGGCAGCAGCTTTATTCTCACCTGAGGGCGCAGTCGTGCACCCCTGACTTGATGATGGAAATATTACAAGCAGAACTTGCCTGACCAGCGCCTCGAGGGTGTGGAGTGAGGTTTGGGAAGGACGCTGCGGCCCCTTTAAGTATTCTGGGGCTGGAAGAGAGGGAGGAAACTGAGAGCGGCGGGCACGGCCGGGGAAACCCACAAGCGAGTGAGCCCGAGACGAAGCAGCGTGAGAGCTGAAACTTCAGCCGCCGATCGGGCCGCGCGCGCCAGCCGCCGCTCCCACCCGCCGCAGCAGCATCCTCGCCCGCGGAGGTCCGGGCGCCCGCGCCTCCGCTCAGCCACTGCGAGCAGCTCGGGGTGCCCACCGCCACCCCTATAGGAACTCAGAGCCCAGACTTCGGGGTGTTTTGCGCGCGCGCGCTCCAGCGGGCGAGGGGACCATGGTGACCGCCGCGCGGGGCTGCGGCGGGGGGCATCCGGGAAGCGCGCGTGTGGCCGCTGACCGGCCGCGGTCCCCAGTGCCCGCCGCGCCCCGCCAGTGATGGGAGCAGGGGCTCGCGCAGGCAGCCGCCGTCGCCGCACCACCCCCTCTCCCGCCCGCTGCGCCCCGAGTCCCCCCGGCACTCCCCGGACGCCGTGCACCCGTCCCTTGGAGCTGCTGCCTTTGCCTGGGCTGCCGTCGCCGACACTTCGGGTGACCAACTACTAAGTGGGCTCGCCGGTACCGGACGCGCTCTTCGGGGAGCTCCCCGGGCCGTCCTCGCACCCCAACTTGGCCGCGGCGCTCGGGCGCACGGTGCGGGGCGCACGCCGAGGCTCGGAGACCGCGGAGGCAGGAAACGGCGCTACCGCTCCTCGGCCGGGGCTCTTTGTTGTTCCATCGGGGGGTCCCCAGAAGTGGCTGAGCCGCCTCGGAAAGCCCGGGCCGAAGGGAGCGCACCTCGGAATCCCTACGTCTGCCAAGGACTCGGAGAGACTGACCGGCGGCCGGAAGGGTCGAGAGAGTCATCGCTCTGAAAACTGCCGGCGGATGCGCTCACGTTGCTTATATTAAGCCTTTGTGTGTGGTGTGTGGCTTCCCACATTCGGGGTCCCCATTTCTGCACCCCCCCTCTTGGCATGAGACTGTATACAGGATCCACCCGAGGACAATGATCGCGGAGCCTGCTCACATTTACCTCTTTGGATTAATATGTCTCTGTTCAGGTAACTCCACGCCTTCTTTTTTCACCCTGTGGTTCTGGTCCACGCCCCTGCTCCAATCTTCCCCCTGCAAACTCCCTACCGAACGTGGGCAACCACCCCCTTCGAAGGGGGACCAGGTCCCTGCCGGCTTTGGGGGCGAAAACGTGCCCACGGTGCACTTTGGTGCGCCCCTGCCCCAAGACGCCCCAAACCTCCTCTCAGTCCTCTGCCTTTCGCCAAGTTCAGGGCACGCCCGGAGCGTCCGGGCAACCCCGGGTGGGGGGGAAGCGTCGGTGGGCGGCGAGGTTGGGCCCCCGGGAAAGGGTGGAAGTTAGTTTCCTGCTTGGGCTAGTTCCTTCCTTCAGGGAGTTGTGTGGGACAGAGGAACTTGTGGCCAGGAGACCCCCCAGGAGTCCCCAACCTGGTCCTCCAATTCACCCCTCCTCTTCTAAGCACAAGGGGTTATTAGTCGTTGTTTTATGTAACCAAGGTCTGTAATTAAATTTGATGGTGAAGAAACTTCAGGAAGTAACTCTTCCTACAGTGGGATATAAACTAGTCACTGCCTGGCTGGGTTTGGAAAGAAAACCGAGTTGGTGGCAACTATATGAGACTGTTACCCTGAGAATTGTCATCGTCGAAGCTCGTCAAAAAGGAAAACTGAGTTTAGGATCTTTAGGATTAATATAAGCGTGCAAAAATTGAACATCTGGAATGTTGGACTGATGCTGCACCACAATCCCTCTGACATAAAAGTTAACTTTATAGCTTACTCGCCCTGAGAAACTTGTACGATGGGTGAATTGAGCCACGGTTTTCAACTTTTCTTTCGTTTGGTAGATTCTGGTTTCAATAGAAGCTTGAGGGATCCAATTTCAGGCCTTCACACACACACACACACACACACACACACACACACACACAGAGTACCTTGGGGAATTTTTTATAGCTGCATACAGAGCTTCAAGTTGCATCAGGGCCTATAGGTTAGAGTTACCCCATTTGCATAATTATACAATTTTGAAAGGTTGATTGGAGCATTTTTGGTTCTGTGGCCACCCTTTTTACTTTCTCCAAGGATTTTACTTAAAAGTATGTGCAGTGTGAAAAGAGAGAACAAGAAAACAATAGCAAAATGCACACTCTTGTTAAAGATAGCAGTTAAACCTCCTACAAGAATTTAGGCCATAAGATGTGCTTCCTGATCGAAAGTGTCTATGAACATTTTGCAACTAAATTAAACTGCACATTCATTAACTTGTTATTCCTTTGAAGCAACTGGAAACTTAAGTTTCAGCCTCGAATATTTCCAATATGTCAGGGTCTCTGGGGCCACCTTCTCCCACTCCCAGGCTCCCCTGTCTACAATGTAGCAACTTTCTGGGTCTGCATATCTCAATGATTGAATAGGCCTGCCTCCACCAACATGGTCTTGATGGGTGCACATCAAAAACATTAAGATCTGATCTCTTTATTTGCCTCTTTCCTTGATCTCCACCTAGTTTAATTTACAGCTTCAGATACCTTTGAGATTAGTGTTGATTCACCTTCGCAGTTAAAGTTTATTCATGTGTGTAAAGTGAAGTGTCAGGGTGATAAATGGCTGGACGGACAGATTACTGAAGATAGGGGGATTAATGGTCATTAGTCACTGTTTGAGCTGAGTTTGTCTATGTTGGGACATTTTATCATGGCTTTAGATTAAAGATAGGGTCACACTACTAGAGTGTCATTGAAAGCTGGTTGTGTCTGCCTGGAAATTCTGTCCTCACCTGGAGTATTGCCCCATCCTATTTAATAACTTGCTTAGTAACTAATACCCAGGACTTGGAATTTTTAATTGGAGTAAACCATGTCTATATTCTTAGGCGCTACATTGATTTCTAGATGCATTTTTCTAATTAAGTGTTCTATTTAAACCATTGATAGTTTGTATAAACCTGAGTTTTTCCCACCAGTATGCTTTTCTGCTCCTTCCCCCTGGCTCTTCGCCAGAAGTGTCTTTCCCAGAACCCACTTCATATTTAACTGGAGGCTTTTTTTTTTTCCATCTTGTGTCCACTGGCTTTCACCCATGCTCTGAATCTGGACCTGAGAGGCCAGTCAAGTGATTGGACTGCTAGGCTGATTTCATGACAGCTAGCTTTTCTGAAGCAATACTATTGATTTGAATAAACTTCACAGAACTCAGATAAGTACTTTCCAGTTGGGAGTGCTCAAGACACCTGGCTAGTGAATGAATGAAGTTCTTGAAAGATTGTGTTTCATGTATTGCCCCGAGCCTGAGATCACAGGGTCTCACTTGTTAATGGAGTGTATTCAGGAGAAATGTGGTGCCCTTCAATAAATCAAAGTGCACCGAGGGAGTAGAGCACCCGCAACAAGATTTAACCTGTAAAAAACATCTATGGGTTGTCATGTCTTTTTTCTTTCCTTTCTTCTTCTCCTCTTTAAACTTAGCTGCCAGCTTAACAAAGTCCTACCTCCCCACCTCCCCCACCCCCAGCAGATTACAAACTCCATTTTGGGTAAAATACTGCATTTAAGAGTACTTGCTTTTTGTGGCCTTTTATTCATTAAACTAATGTTACAACATAGGATCATGGTTTTTGTTTTTGTATAACTATGCTTTGGGGAGCTTGCATATTTCTTTGATCAGTTTGTATATCTATTGCTTCTTTCTATGGAGCGCTAGCCTTTGCTGGGGGGAGGCCGGTCAGGTGAGGAGGGGCGGGGGGTGGGGTGGGGGTGGGCTCAAGAAAGACATCCACAGGATCTCTTAGTCTTCCCTCAAGAGATACTTCTGTCTTCAACTCCTTTGACCAAAGCTTGCTTTTAAGTGAATGAGTTGTTGAATTTCAGGATGAGGTCTGCATTTCAAATAAAGTGGAAGTGGAAATGCACTGGATTTTTCTGCTGCCCCCCTCCCCCTTACTATTATTATTTTTTACTTTTAGGAAAAGGGACCTTTTTGTGGGGGTTGTTGTAAAACAAGTTTCACTATGTGAGCTACTTAATCTGGTGTTCTCTCTCTTTGGCAAGATTCCTTAGTAAATCTACTAGGATTTGGTCAATTTTCCGACAAAGTTGTTTGCTTTTAAATTTATACTAGAGAACTGCTGCATCTTTTAAAGTACCCTTTTTATTTCTCGATAATGGGTCTCTGGCCCATAAAGCACTCATGTGTAAACTGTCTTAGGGAAGACCTTCAGTTTCTGCTATGAAGATGAACTATTCCTGTGTGCGGTTAAAGAGGTGCTAAGTCCACATTTACAACGTGCCATGACAGTTTACTATGATCATTGTTATTAATTTTTATTTTCATTAAGTGTCCACCATTTAAAAGGCTGAGCAACAAGAGTAAAACTCAAAAGAAGCCTAGGTAAAGTTTACTAGTGAAGATCCTAAGTTGTCCAGCCTTCATGGAGTGTTTTTTGTTGTTGTTGTTGTTGTTGTTACTAAAAGATGCTAAGGTAATGCCTATGTTAAATGTTAGCCTTTTAAAAAATGTTCCATGCTTAAAGCAAACATGAAACAAGTAACTTTGCTTCTTATTTGAAAATATAGGGAAAGTAAAGCTGTGATTTGATATAAGTTTCGGTCTAAAGTAACCTCTAGAATGAATTAAGAAATTTTGGTAAAATAGGGTGCGTGCCCTCCCCCCCACCAGCTCCTCCCCCACGCACACAAACTTCTTTGAAATCAGAAGCAGAAATCTGGAGAAGTGTAGTAAAAACTGAGATTGAGAATGAAGCCAGTTCTAAAATGTAGTCTGGACGTAGACAGAACAAACAAATACAAGTATATGCTCTGCCCTCACACAGCACCAGGAACACATTTGAAAAGTAGATTGAATAGTTGATGTCCATTTATATGTGGAATATATAGCTATAAACATGTAGACATCTTGCTTAATTTTTTGCAACAAAAGCAGTCTTGAAGCCCATCTAAATCTTTAGTGCGTTGATAGGCTACTTTTATGAGTCAGAATGGACTTGATGTCAGTGAGTTTGGTGTTGATGAGTTTGGGTGGCCTCGTCTGTTAAGCACTCTGGGTTGCGAAAGACAAGGTCAGCAGTTCGAACACACCGGTTGCTCAGCTAGAGAAAGACAGGCATTCTACTCCTGTAAATGTTTAGAATCTTAGAGCTAGTTCAGCCTTTCCCTCTAGGGTTGCTGTGAGTTAGAATTGAGTTGATGGCAGTCGGGTTGAAGTGTAATGTTCAATACGACTGTAGAGTACCTGTCTCTTGTTTTATGTCAACAAAAACCAAACTCACACCTATCCATTCCAACACCTAGCGACCCGATACAGAGACATTAAAAATTAGTCGTTAACTTTCATATGCTCAGAGTAATCCTCACGGGAGACCAGTGCACAGAAAGAAAGAATAGAGGAAAGGAAGAAAGAAAGAAAGAAAAAATGTACATAGAATTCAAATCTGGAGCACAATAAGAAACTATGATATCTATTATTAATGTGAGGGCATGGCTACCATTTATGAACATACACCCTTGTCTTCCCTAATGCTCATCCGCACTCTGGCGTGGTGCTGTGAGAAATACTGCTTTATCCTCTTGGAGGAAATGAATTGTTCAGAAGTGAAGACATGGATGATCAGAGATTTGAACTGAGTGTACTCCTAAACTTTTCTATCATCTTGTCCATGTTCCCCCTTGAAAGATGAAAGGGAAGGAAGTAAAGAAGAAAGATTATAGTTCAATGAATTTTATTTTAAAACATTTTCAGAAAAACCCATCTAGATAAGACTCTGGTGAACATTTGTGATTCTCAGAAGGACTGCATTATTTTTCTTATGGTTAAGAAAGTTTTAAAGATAAAAAAAAGTTTCAAATCTCTGGGTGAAACCATCACTTAAAAACCTTTTTTTAAAAAAAAACAAAAAAAAACCACCTTTTTTTTTATTACCTTCTACCAGCTCATGTTTAGCCTGTATGATACCTGCATGCTATACCATGCTTAAAAGAAGGCACTGGACATAAGTCAAAATATCTGCTGG